CAGCTGTGCATGCTATGATTATAAAAAGGATTCATTTTTGAAGGAAGAAAGAAAAAGGAAAAGAGAGAAAAAGAGAAAAACTGGCTGAAAAAGAAAAAAAAACTGTTTTTTTTTTGCACAGATTTCGAGAAAGAATGAAAAAAAAGGGAAAAAACAGCCCTTTTATAGAAAAAAACGCGCGCAGAGGCGGCGGCAGCCACCGCCGGCAAAAAAAAAAATTCGATAAAAAAAATGAATGAAAAAAATCAAGGAAAAATTAGAAATTGAAAAAATTAAAATTTTGTTCTTTCTTAATTAAAGTAAATAAACATGCATACATACAAATTTTTCACTACTAACCGAGTGCAGGTACAGTCAAAGTTAGGTACAGAAATACAAAAAAGAGAGAGCAGTAAAAATCTAGCAACCATGACATCAGCGGTGGGGCCTCCTCCTCCTCTGATCATCAAAAGCCCTCAGAGTCCAAGACGCAGAAAGTTCTTGCTGCATCCCAAGCATCAGCTCCATCATCTGATTGACCAAGCCGTTAGGAACCTGGAAATCATACAAAAAACACAAGTCAATATCAAATCAATATCAAATCTCTTATGAATCCTTTTTGTGAGAGGATTTATCAGTCGTTACCTCAATTAAATGCTCCTCGGAGGAAGATCCAAGCGATCACATTCTCCAGGGAGACTCCCGAAAAAAGCTAGAGTGCCTCAGGTGATAAGTAGGAAATGCCTGTATGGAAGACGTAGGTTGGCCAGGCTAGATGAAGCGGCCGATAGCCTCTGAAAATGGCCTGAGAGAGCCTAGAAGGACCTGACATGTCTTATCTCTTTGAGATGGTACCCTCAACCGGAGTGGAAGAAGGAAGGTCAGTTTGGCCTCCTCCTTTGGAGTTCCTTGGTTGAGGGGCCTGAGCCGAGAAGAACGTATTGAAGGAGGCTGTGAACGTGCCTGAAAATCATCAAACCGAGATGCCGATAGGCTGCATCAGAACATCTTTGCAGACTCAATCATATCTCCTCCCAGAATGAACTCACATGTTGGGAAGCCCTCAATATGAGCCGTTCGGTAAGCGTCATCTGCTTTTCCTGCTCGCATGTCCTGGCAGGGGAATAAGGACGAGCAGGCAGCCTCTTGATTCTGAAAGTCAACTCTCTCGCCCAAGTAATATCTCCTCAGGACGGGGTGCGACAGACATGGCAATACGACCGTGGAAATGGGGGTCGCCTAAAATCCAAACTCTGTAAAGACGGGCAGTCAGTCGCCCCTATCTCTCATATGTCTCTATATTATATTTCACATATCAAAAAAAGAAGGGAAAATTTTACAAGCACTTCCCTGATCACGATTTGCAAGTTATCAGGCTCTCAGATCCTTTAGGGATTTCTTGTGCTGAACAGTATGAAGGTTTGGCCGGTACCATCTCCAAGCCAAGGGTACCAACCCCAATCCAAGATCAGCATTAACTAGCTCTGGGTGAGTGAAGGGAAAGTACTCATATGCCCAAGTCTGTAAAAAGGAAGAAACAAAAAGTCAAAAAAAAAAAAAATGAAAATGATGAATGAAAATGAAAATTAAAATGAAAAGAGAAAGGAAGAACGTTCTTACCTCCCAGAAGTAGTAAGTCCCACTGAGTTTACAATGGCTTCGACTCAGACCACACATATGTCATCATACATGCGGCTCGGAATTTCTCTTCCCAGTCGTACTCCTCAAGATGGGCCAGCATTTCCAAACTCTTCAAGATTGGAAGATTAAACTTCTCTTCCTGTTGGACCAGGAGGTCAAAGCGAACAGAAGCAACAGGGTGAATCTGGGCCACCTGAGTAGCCGTCAAGCTCATCCCTGCCTTGTGATCTAGTGCATAAATGTCGGGGCCTGCATTGGATATCTCTCTGAGTAGTAGAGCCGGCCTATCCATATCGGGGCAAAGTCGATCCCTATCAGCTCAAACCATCGACAGGAGAGACCTCAGTTCCTCCATTTCATTGTATAAGGCTCATTCGGGCCGAATTTTTTGCCAAAATAAAAAAAGCGGGGGGGGGGGGGGGGGGGGGGAAAATTTTTTTTTTCCCGGGGAAAAAGGGATTACCGAAAATCTTTGTCATCTCACCCCAAGGGAATTGGAGTATTGGTGGTGCTCCCCACCATCTCTTCGGCCAAAAGCACTCTCAAGTTAATTCTTTTGTGGCTGTTCCTTACCACATCAAAATGGCCTCAGGTAGCCCAGATGGACGGGACTAATAATCGCTCCGACGGGGTTGTATATCTTTCTCGACCGAATCTCGATCTCATCATCTCTCTCCTCTCTCTCTATTTTTATATGGGGGGTCCTAAAAGGTAGCAATCTAGAGTTATTCCTCGTCTCCTTTCTAAGGAATTAATATCTTAGTTCTACCCTAGCCCATACATACTAAAATAAAACAGTAAAATGCAAAACATGATAAAAAAAAAAGAAGAAGAGTAAACTTACTTGGGCGTAGATACCAGTCACAGAGGCGTGGGTGTCTGCGTCCGCTGTAAGGTCGGGGTCCAGGGAAATTCCCAAAGACTCCAGGAAATCTTCGTCGCTGCTGTGACTCGGAGAAGTCATGATGCGGAAGTTGTGAGAATTTGAGAAAGCTCTTTGATTTGGAGAGTTTAGAATGAATGGAGAAGTGAAAACTTCAGCTATTTATAAGGAAATAGCCAAAAGGCAGGTCTTCTGGACGCGTCCGGTTTTCGCCTTCAAAATTTATTTTTTAGACAACCACCGACGCCCATAAATCATTTTTATGGTTGTCGGTGGGGGCCAACTGTGAATACTCAAATTTTGAGGCTCTAAAAGCCTGTTTTCCCGGAATGCAAACAGTCCGGTCGGACCGGAGGCCATTTTTGAAATTTACCGGAAGTATGCTAATATGTTACTTGAAACGTCCGAAAAATTGCGAGGATCGCAGAACTGGTCCCGGAATATTTTTTGGAGGTACGGAACTCCCGAAAAAGCCATTTGAACAAAACAACAGCAAGTCCGCCGGCCTCGCGGTGGAGGCCGCCGTTTGCAGATGGCCACCGGCAGCTGCAGCCGCCGGCAGGGGCTGCGGCGGCTGCGGCCGCCCTCCAGCCCGATTTTTTCTATAAATACAGCCCCGATGCGACTTTTTTACTCACTCAGTCTGTGTTGACGGACGCTCTCTTCTCCCCTACGCTCCTTGCGGTTCTTTTACTGCCAGTCTGTGTTTACGACGCTTCTCTTCTCCCCTACCGCTTCCTTGCGGTTCTATTTAACTGCTTTTTTCTGCATTTAGCTGTAGGCTTTTTATTCTGCTGTATGTCATTACTTGGTCACTTACATTAAATTAATTTTAATTAATATTCCCCAAACGAGGAGCTTAATCTGGAATTTTCAAGCTGAAGCTAAGAAGCAGCCGTCGATTAACTAAGGTAATAACGAAACCCTGCTTATTTAATTTCAGCATTTCATGCATATTTCTCTTCTACTCCTAATTCTACAACTGCATTCACACCATCGTCATCATTTTGGCAATTAAATTGCCTTAAGTGAATATGATTAAGCTTAAATGCCGGTTAATTAATAATCGTGGTGTTAAAGCCTAAATCCGACAATATTGGCTAAAGCCTAGTTAATTAATAACTATGGTACAATCACCTTTATTTCGAACAGGCTTAATAGTCCAATTAATCCAATAATTATAGCTAAAAGTCCTTAAATCAATCATGTTTTCTTGGCAGCAAATTGCCTACAGTTTAATCAATCACATTTTGGCAATAAATTGCCTAATTACACATCCAATTTTTGGCCAAAATTGCCTTGATTAATCAATCTTTTGGCTAAAAAGCCTTAAATCAATCATTTTGGCGGACAATCGCCCATCAGCACTTTCTTGGCAAACAATTGCCTAAAATTACATCAAACTTTTGGCCAATTAAATTGCCTAAATCATCTTTTTTGGCCTTAAAAGCCTTAAATCAACACTTTTAGCAACAAATACACTTCCTTTTGGCAACAAACGCCTCAACAAATCAATCAATTCTTTGGCAAAATGCCTAAACAAAATGCACGAAGCATGC